ATTTTTTGTATTTTTAGTAGAGACGGGGTTTCACCGTGTTGACCAGGGTGGTCTCGATCTTTTGACCTCGTGATCCACCCGCCTCGGCCTCCCAAAGTGCTGGGATTACAGGCGTGAGCCACCGCGCCCGGCCCCGACTTTTTAATTCTTGAAGCAGATGGATTATCACTAAGAAAATAGAAGAGCCTTTTCTCTATTCCAAAATTTCCCTCGCCCAGTGCTGAAGGCAGTGACTGGTTTTCAGCATCTCCTATTGGGCCGGCTTTTTCACTCCTGAAGTTCAGCGGGTGGGAGGGAGTGTTACAGCTCTTTTGCTCCCACCACCAGCAAGGTTCTTGTCCCACAGCCAAGAATAATAAGGCACACGGACACCAGAGATTGTGTAAGGCAGAGTGGGATTTATAAAGCGAAAGCCATTGAAGTGCTCTCAGCAAGGAGAGGGACCCGACCAAAAGTTGCTGGCTGCAGGGCTAAGTTCAGAGCTTTTATGGACTGGGAAGGGGCAGGAGTGTGCTGACTGGTCTGTGGGCCACTCAGAAAGACACACACAGTGAAAACAACCAATTAGAGGCTGAGGTGAGGGCTTGGCCTGCAACCAATCAGGGGCTGAAGTGATGTTACTCCAGCCAATCACAGAAAGATAGGTAAATGTAACATAGGTAAAAGGTAAGGACCAATCCGGATGAGGCATGTGAAATGAGACAAAGGCACATCAAAGGGAGGAAAAATGTGTCCAGAAAAGGAGTGAAATTTGTTCATCTAGGTTCACAGAGTAAGCATTTCCATTCAAGGACACGGCCTCTTTCTTATCTGGGGCCTGCAGCGTGTTCTTGGTTTGAAGGAGTTTTACCAAGGACGCACCCTAACTGCCTAGCTCATCACTTTCTTTCTATCTCCTCTCTCACTATCCAAGGCCCTAGCTAGTCCCAGCCTCACGGGGACATTGACATCTTCTCTCAGGTCAGCTCCTAAGAGGCCTCACTGTGGGCCTCAGTGAAGTGATTCTTCCAGCTCCAGAGATTCCTGCCAGACATGGAAAAAACCCAAACCAGATGTTGGAGATAAGCTCTCAGGAGCTCATCCCAGCCAATCTGCCAGTGCCCATGTGGAGCTATGTTTGACTTTTATCTATTTGCTTTATTGTGAAATGTCTCACCCATAGAGAAAAGCATGAAAACAGACTGGGTGTGGTGGGTCAGACCTGTAATCCCAGCACTTTTGGAGGCCGAGGTGAGCAGATCACTTGAGGTCAGGGGTTTGAGACCAGCCTGGCCAACATGGCAAAACTCCATCCCTACTAAAAATACAAAAATTAGCCGGGTGTGGTGGCATGTGCCTGTGATCCCAGCCACAAGGAGGCTGAGGCAGGAGAATCACTTGAACCTGGGAGGCAGAGGTTGCGGTGAGCTGAGATCCCGCCATTGCACTCCAGCCTGAGCAACTAAGCGAGACTCCGTCTCAAAAAGAAAAAAAAAAAAAAAAAACAAAGCATGTCAACAAAACTCCTTCTGGCTATCATTTTGCCCTGTGTCTTCAGACAGAGACTCCAGTGAGAAAGCCAAAACACAGGCAAGGCTTCTTCTGAGGTCTTTCCTGAGTCTGTTGCTCTGACTCCCTTTCCAGAGGTGAGACTGTTCTGAAACTCCCTGCCCATGGTGTTTACAATCATGGTACCTCTCCCCACTGTTCTGTGCCTGTGAGCATTGCCTGAGCACCACCTCTCTGTAATTAGAAATCTGCCTGTTCCTCTAACATTGTGGTGAGTGTGTGCAGGCTGAGAGATGTACGTCCCATTCATTCATTCATTCATTCAACTATACTGTCATAGTCCACATATTCTACAACTCATCCTGCCTTTTAAATTAATCATTCATTCCCAAATTCAATTTGTTTCCCATTCTTCACAGTTGCAATGTTGAAATACACATTTTTTTTTTCTGGTTTCCTTGTGCATGTATGAAAATGTCTCCAAGGGATGTATATCTCTGCAAGTTTCAACTCCAGTCATTTTTTGAAACCGTCCTCCAATACCACCGTGCAAATAGACAGAGACACCACATTCCAACAGCCTATAAGAAGTGACAAGCCACATACATTACTGTGATTTTGATTTGTATTTCCCGGATTGCAGGTATGATTAATAATCAATTGTGTGGCTTCATGGTCCTTTTATTTCCCTTTTCTGTCAAACATGATATCCTTTGCCTTTTTAAAAAAGATTTAAGTATGGCCGGGCATGGTGGCTCCTGCTTGTAATTCCTCGGGAGGCCGAGACAGGCGGATCACTTCAGGTCAGGAGTTCAAGACCAGTAGTGAAACCTCACCTCTACTAAAAATACAAAAATCAGCTGGGCATGGTGGCGCACGCTTGTAACCCCAGCTACTCAGGAGGCTGAGGTGAGAGGTTCACTTGAACCTGGGAGGCAGAAGTTGCAATGAGCTGAGATTGCACCACTGTACTCCAGCCTTGGTAACAGAGTGAGACTCCATCTCAAAATAAAACAGAATAAATAGTAAGAGTTTAAAAAGATGTATGTATTTAAAGCTAAATTTTTTTTTTTTTTGAGACAGAGTCTTACTCCATCGCCGCCAGGTGCCAAGCTGGAGTGCAGTAGCGCAATCTCAGCTCACCGCAACCTCAACCTCCCGGATTGAAGCAATTCTCCTGCCTCAGCTTCCCAAGTAGCTGGGACTACAGGCATGTGCCACCATGCCCAGCTAATTTTTTTTTTTGTATTTTTAGTACAGACAGGGTTTCACCATGTTAGCCAGGATGGTCTCAATCTTTTGACCTTGTGATCTGCCCGCCTTGGCCTCCCAAAGTGCTGGGATTACAGGCCTGAGCCACCGCGCCCGGCCTAAATCTAAAATATTATCTCTAAGAAGTGATTTGTCTGTGTTCCACAAATTTTGATACGTTGTGTTTTTATTTTTTTTTTTGTTTTTTTGAGACGGAGTTTCGCTCGTTACCCAGGCTGGAGTGCAATGGCGCGATCTCGGCTCACCACAACCTCCGCCTCCTGGGTTCAGGCAATTCTCCTGCCTCAGCCTCCTGAGTAGCTGGGACTACAGGTGCACGCCACCATGCCCAGCTAATTTTTTGTATTTTTAGTAAAGACGGGGTTTCACTGTGTTGACCAGGATGGTCTCGATCTCTTGACCTCGTGATCTCTTGGCCTCTCAAAGTGCTGGGATTACAGGCGTGAGCCACCGCACCCGGCCGATACCATCTTCTTATCTAAATATCTATGTTGCATATTCAAATTTGGCCAAACTTCCCAATAATAAAGTTATAACGTGTTTGTGTGTGTGCGGTCTAAGGTTCACATTGTACTTAGTTTACATGTCCCTTTAATCTGGAACATGTTGTACGCAGCTTTTGTTTGTTTTTTTTCACAAGAATTTCCCAGTATAAAGAGTACAGGCCCATTATTTTGTAGACTGTCCTTCAGCTGGGGTTCATGTGATGGTAGCTTATGAATATATTCAGGCCTAGAGTTTATGTTTAAAATACAGCCACATAGAAAGGGAAGAGGGAGAGAAGTTAAGTGGCCTCTGATGGCCAAGGTCAACATCATTTGTGCCAGGCCCTGTGGATAGTAAGTCCCGCTGATGCTGTGTGATGATCATGGTATTTTACTTCTGTGACCTTCCTCTCCAAAACCCACGAATCCATTTGCTGGATGAGAAAACATGCAATAAATCCCAGTGCAAGGGCATTGTCCAAAATATCTGACTAGTGTCCTTCAAAACCATCAAGGTCAACAAAAACAAGGGAAGTCGGCCAGGCACAATGGCTCACCCATGTAATCCCAGCACTCTGGGAGGCCAAGGTAGGCACATCACTTGAGATCAGGAGTTCAAGACCAGCCTGGACAACACGGTGAAATCCCATCTTGCAATTTTTGTAAAAATACAAAACTTAGGTGGGCTTGGTGGTGGATGCCTGTAATCCCAGCTACTCAGGAAGCTGAGGCAGGAGAATCGCTTGAACTCGGGGGACAGAGGTTGCAGTGAGCCGAGACTGTGCCACTGCACTCCAGCCTGGGCGACAGAGCGAGACTTCATCTCAAAAAAAAAAAAAAAAAGAAAGAAAAGTCTAAGAAAGTGTCACAGCCAAGAGGAGCCCAAGGAGACATGATGAGTGTATGTCATGTAGTCTCCAGGATGGGATTTTGGAGCAAAAAAAAGAGTGGCGTGAGATAAAAACTAAGGAAATCCAAATTAAGTATGGAGCATGGGAATTCTCTGTACTCTCTCTACAATTTTTCTGTAAGTCTCAAACTGCTCTAAAAAACGAAGCATATTAAAAATATTTGTCCTTCTGTTCGTTGTTGAATGTGCAGTTCGCTCCCATGAACTCAGACTCAGATAACCCCTAACATGGTCTCACAATTCGTTCAGGATTGCTCAACATCTTCAATCTTTTGAATATGGGTCACACTACTGCTCTCCTTATCAGCAAAGAAACTTCGCAACAGACACGTGGCACGCCAGGGCAAGGTTAAAGATCGTTTTATCCTTGCTGTAAAAGCTGATCTCCCTGTAGCTGCCACAGCCTCTACTGGTGGCCACAGCTGAAACCCAACACCAGGCAGGAATTGCTCAGCATCATGTCGGATGATTTCCTCTGGTTTGAAGGCATACCTTTCCCTAATACTGGTCTACAACCTGAAATCCTAAGAAAACTTCATGATGAGTTCGTGATAAAGGATGAAGATGTAATAACTGTGACTTACCCCAAATCAGGTAAGGAGGCAGAATCGTGGACAGAAGAGGGCTGTGGTTGGGTTCCTCACCCATTATGTAGATGGTTGGAGTGCTTTCTCTATGCCGGACAACGAACATTGCTTTGTGGAGAAGCGAGGAACGCCTGATACCATTGACAATCGGAGAAAAGGATTTAGTTAGGAAATTACACAGTAAGATGAGTGCTCAGAGGGCTAATCTAAGGTGTTAGGAGAATCTACAGGAGTGAATCCTAAGGCAGATTCAGGTGTTTGTTTAGTGTCAGTGGGAAGGAGGATGGCTGAGGATGAACAGCCCTAAGAGAAGAAATGCCATTTAGATTGAAATAGAAAGAATGAGTGTGAAATTGCTTGGTGGGAAGGGGATATTTTCATACAGGAGTCTCGTCATGGACAATGGCCAGGAATTGGAAAAGAACCTGACAAGCTCAAGAGGCTGAAAGATGAGGATCGTGTCTAAGGGAGTGGGGCTGTGGGGCGGGGGGCGGTAAGAGCACTGCAGGCGGGATGAGGATTGAGGCTGAAGACATTGGAAGTGGCATGAGCCTGAGAGACCAAGAGCAATGGGAACTTATTAAAAGGATTTCAACAAGTAGCCAAAAGGTGGAAGCAACCCAGACATCCACCGACAGGTGAGTGATTAGACAAGATGTGATATGTAGATACAGTGGAATGTGATTCATCCTTGAGAAGGAGGGAAATTCTGGCGCATGCTGCAACACGGATAAACATCCGGGACATTATGCTAAATGAAATACGCCAGTCACAAAAATGCAAGTGCCGTGTGATTCCACTTACTTAAGGTACCTAGGGCCATCAGAGTTCATAGAAACAGGAAATACAGTGGTGAATGCCAGGGGTTGAAGAGAAGGGCAAATGGAGGGTTGATCCTGGTTCTGCACAGAGTTTCAGTTTTGCAAAAGTCCTCTGCAGATTGGTTGAGCAACAATGGGAATATACTTAACACTGCAAAACTGTAGCCTTAGAAGTGGTTGAGAGGCGGGGCGCGGTGGCTCACGCCTGTAATCCCAGCACTTTGGGAGGCCAAGGCAGGCGGATCACCTGAGGTCAGGAGTTTGAGACCAGTCTGGCCAACATGATGAAACCCTGTCTCTAACAAAATACAAAAATTAGCCAGGCGTGGTGGCTCGTGCCTGTAGTCCCAGCTACTTGGGATGTTGAGGAAGGAGAATCACTTGAACCCAGGAGGTGGAGGTTGCAATGAGCCAAGATCACGCCATTGCACTCCAGCCTGTGCACAGAGCAACACTCTGTCTCAAAAAAAAAAGGGGGGGACAATTGAGAGCTGGCCGCAGTGGCTCACACCTGCAATCCCAGGGCTTTGAGAGGCCAAGGCAGGAAGATGGCTTGAGGTCAAGAGTTCAAGACCAGCCTGGGAAACATAGCAAGGCCTGGTCTCTATAATAAAATTTTTTAAAAAAAATTAGTCCAGTGCGACGGCGCATGCCTGAGGTCTCAACTACTTGGGAGGCTGAAGCAGGAGGCCAAGGTATTAGGATCACTTGAGCCCCAGAGTTCAAGGCTGCAGTGGGCTATAATTACACTGCTACACTCTATCCTGGGCTACAGAGGGACACCCCATCTCAAAAAATACATATATATCAAAAAATAGGCCAGGCGCGGTGGCTCACGCCTGTAATCCCAGCACTTTGGGAGGCCAAGGTGGGTGGATCACGAAGTCAAGAGATCAAGACCATCCTGGTCAACATGATGAAACCCCGTCTCTACTAAAAATACAATAATTAGCTGGGCGTGGCGGCGTGCGCCTGCAGTCCCAGCTACTCGGGAGGCTGAGGCAGGAGAATTGCTTGAACCCGGGAGGCGGAGGCTGCAGTGAGCCGAGATCACACCATTGCACTCCAGTCTGGGTAACAAAAGCGACACTCCATCTCAAAAATAATAATTTAAGATTGAGATTGTACATTTTATATTACATATATATATATATCTTACTGTATTTTTTTCCTTCTTTTTCCAGGAACAAACTGGTTGATTGAGATTCTCTGCCTGATTCACTCCAAGGGGGATCCCAAGTGGATCCAATCTGTGCCCATCTGGGAGCGCTCGCCCTGGGTAGAGACTAACATTGGGTATAAAATTCTAAGTGAGAAGGAGGGCCCACGTCTCATCAGCTCCCACCTCCCCATCCAGTTATTCCCCAAGTCTGCCTTCAGTTCCAAGGCCAAGGTCAGTGCGTAATGGTTCAGACGTGTTCGATCAATGCCCTTTCAAATGCTCATATGCCTGTAGGTGACCTGGAGATCCTACTGAAATGCTTTCTCTTTCAGCAGGTCTGTGTTGTTGGGACCTGAGATTCCATATTAGGTGACACCTGTGGGGTTGTTCCAAGAACTGTCCTGGAGTTCAAGGGTGTAGAGCATTCCACAGGTTATCCCAGCCAGATTTAAACCAGGGACAGGGTGAAGCAATAACGCCAGAATCTTAGAAAACCAGGTTCTAAGCCCAGTCTAAATGGATAGCCATATCATATACTATGTAACTGCCTTTTTTTGCCCTAAAAAACAGCCAATCTGAACTCACCAAGAACCTCCTGCCACTTAAAAGACATAGAGGTGTTCCTATAAGAAGCAGGCCATTCGGCCGGGTGTGGTGGCTCACACCTGTAATCCCAGCGCTTCGAGAGACCAGCCTTGCCAGCATAGTGAAACCCCAACAGCACAGACCTGCTGTAGGTCTAATATCCATTCTTGCCCTAAAATAAGTAGTGTGTAGAAAGAGAATCAGAGAAGCAAGTTGATGCGGGCTGGGTATGGTGGCTCATGCCTGTAATCCCAGCACTTTGGGAGGCCAAGGCAGGTGGATTGCCTGAGGTCAGGAGTTCAAGACCAGCCTGACCAACATGGAGAAACCCCAGCTCTACTAAAAATACAAAATTAGCTGAGCACGGTGGCATATGCCTGTAATCCCAGCTACTTAGGAGGCTGAGGCAGGAGACTCGCTTCAATCCGGGAGGCAGAGGTTGAGGTAAGCCGAGATCATGCCATTGCACTCTAGCCTGGGCAACAAGAGCAAAATTCCATCTCAAAAAAAAAAAAAGAAGCAGCATATTCGTCAACCAATGCCTGTATCCAGGCTGACTGCTCCGGTGCCACGTCTGGGCGCTGTTCCCACTGCATCTCACTGTGTGTAGCTGCGTGTTGATATCAGCAGCCACACGCATCTCCCATGGGGCTGAGGGGTGATCATGAGAAGGACAAGGTATATCCAGGACTTTGCATGGCTCAGATCGTTTCTAGAATCATACTTTCCTGGAAGGTGTTTATTGGTGTATGAACTTTTAAACATTTTTTTTTTTGCAGCTGGGCATGGTGGTTCATGCCTGTAATCCCAGCACTTTGGGAGGCCGAGGCAGGTGGATCACAAGGTCAGGAGCTCGAGACTAGCCTGGCCAACATGGTGAAACCCCATCTCTACTAAAATACAAAAATTAGCTGGGCGTGGTGGTGGACACCTGTAATCCCAGCTACTTGGGAGGCTGGGGCAGGAGAATCACTTGAATCTGGGAGGCAGAGGTTGCAGTGACCCAAGATCGTGCCACTGCACTCCAGCCTGGACGACAGAGTGAGACGCCATCCTGGAACCAAAAAAAAGGAGGGGGGGGTTTGCTTAAGTTAAATGGAGAAACTTAGAATAATATTCTCCTCTCTTGGAAATCGTACAAGGTATAGCAGCACCATGAATTTGTTACAGTACACCTATGTACATGGGTCTTACTGGTGGTTCATTAAACCCCTGGCTGGCAAAACCGAAGCCTCAAGAGAGAAGAGGCCTAGAATAACGTCACAAAGAGTTGATGCAGAATCCACAGTCAAATTCAGATGTTCAGATGCGGGTCATCTTGCATGTGTGCATACGTGTGCATGTGTGTATGTGTGTGTGTGAACGTGTGTGCAAGTGTGTGCCCGTGTGTTTGCAGTAATCTTAAGGAATTTTTTTTGAGATGGAGTTTCGCTCTTGTTGCCCAGGCTGGAGTGCAGTGGTGCAATCTCGGCTCATTGCAACCTCTACCCCCCCAGGTTCAAGTGATTCTCCTGCCTCAGCCTCCTGAGTAGCTGGAATTACAGGCGTGCAGCACCATGCCCAGCTAATTTTGTATTTTTAGTAGAGCCGGGGTTTCTCTGTGTTGGTCAGGCTGGTCTCGAACTCCTGACCTCAGGTAACCCACCAACCTTGGCCTCCCAAAGTGCTGGGATTACAGGCGTGAGCCACCATGGCTGGCAGTAATCTTAAGCATTAGTATAATGAATATTTCTATGTATATACACTGAACAACCACCATCTAGATACAAATTTAGAACAGTTTCCCTCCCTCATATCCCCTTCCCAATCAGTGCCCACCCACAGAGGCAGACACTCCCCTAATTTACAGCTGTAGATGAGTTTGGCTTGTTGAATTTCATACAAATGGACTCACACTTTATGAGGTATTGGAAATTTAGCTTCTTTTTTTTGAGATGGAGTGTCACTCTGTTGCCAGGCTGGAGTGCAGTGGTACAATCTCGGCTCACTGCAACCTCCGCCTCCCAGGTTCAAGTGATTCTCCTGCCTCAGCCTCTCGAATAGCTGAGACTAGAGGTGTGCGTCACCATGCCTGGCTAATTTTTGTATTTTTAGTAAACACACAGGGTTTCACTCTGTTGGCCAGGCTGGTCTCGAACTCCTGACCTTCAGTGATTCAGCTTCCCAAAGTGCTGGGATTACAGGCATGAGCCACCATGCCCGGCCAAAGTCTGGCTTCTTTCACCCAAAGTAATGTCTGTGAGATGTATCCATGATCTTGGGCGTTGTATATGGATCTGTATTGCTATATATGCATGAATGTAGCTTAATTTATGAATTCCTTGTCCTGTTAATGATCCTTAAGCCACAGTGCACAAAAATACACCACTCACTTTTGGAAACCTTCCATTCGCTTTCCATTGTGAGTAAATCGTAACATCCCAGAGGAAAGGGACGATGCTCCCTTCCTCCAAGGCCATATTCCCAGCACAGTGACTATCTCATAGGCACTTTAAATTTGATTAATGAATGCGGTAAGTAATTTATTAAAATAATCCATTGATATTATTAGGGATTGGCTGGGCGTGGTGGCTCACGCCTGTAATCCTAGCACTTTGGGAGGCCGAGGTGGGTGGATCACCTGAGGTCAGGAGTTCAAGACCAGCCTGGCCATCACGGTGAAACCCCACCTTAAAAAAAAAAAAAAGAAAAGAAAAGAAAAAGAAATTTTAAAAGATATTATTAGGGATTATCCAGGAATTGGCTTGTCCTCCACGTTTATAAAGATCAGAAATAATGAAGAACGACTGTATTGATTTTTTCTTTCTCCCGCTTTTCCATTTAAGATGATTTATCTCCTCAGAAATCCCAGAGATGTTCTTGTGTCTGGTTATTTTTTCTGGAAACAAATGACGTTTGTTAAGAAACCAAAGTCATGGGAAGAATATTTTGAATGGTTCTGTCAAGGACACGGTGAGTGTTTTGTAAAATATGGAAGGTGGGGGGTGCTCAGAGTCCTCCACTGAACCTCATTTGACACCCAGCCTCACATCTCTACCGCTCACCAGCCCACGGGTCGAAGGCTCCACCACCCTGGAGGCCACATCTGCTAAATTCGCCTACTCTCTCACACAGCAGCAGAGCTCTAGCCAGCGCCTCAGCTTGCCCCGTGATAAAGCACCCTAGCTATTTTCTGAGTCTCTGGAATCTCCAATACCAGCAGAGGCAACTTATAGTCTCTCCTCTCTCAATGTGCAGATTTCTGGAAGGTAGCTTTTCACTGGCTTGCTGCACAACACAACCCTGACCTTCCGCTATTTTTTTTCTGCTGCCTCTTTCCAAAACTCCCTGAATGCTCTTTTTCTATCTGTCTCAAGCCTGTCTGCACGGCTCTAGGATCTCTACACATTTACTTATGCAGAATTTCTGGGCTTTTTCAGCACTTTCCATTTTCCCATTGATCTCAAAATTAGCCGCCCCAGCAATACAGCAGCCACAGATATCTCCATTAGAGGCCTCTAATTCAGTACACTCAAATTTGAACACCTTTCTGGCTGGGTGCGGTGGCTCACGCCTGTAATCCCAGCACTTCGGGAGGCCGAGGCCAGCGGATCACCTGAGATCAGGAGTTCGAGACTAGGCTGGCCAACATGATGAAACCCTGTCTCCACTAAAAATACAAAAAATTAGCTGGATGTGGTGGCGGATGGCTGTAATCCCAGCTACTAGGGAGGCTGAGGCATAAGAATCGCGTGAACCCAGGAGGCAGAGGTAGCAGTGAGCCAAGATCTAGTCATTGCAATCCACCCTGGGCAACAAAATTGAAACTCTGTCTCAAAAAAAAAAAAAAAAAAAAAAAAAAATTGACCACCTTTCTCCCATAGCCCAAACTGCTTCCAGCGCATAAACATGAGCTCAATCCCTCACCTGAAGGCTAGCATGAGTCTAATATTTCTTTTTTTCTTTTTTTTTTTTTTGAGACGGAGGTTCGCTCTCGTTACCCAGGCTGGAGTGCAATGGCGCGATCTCGGCTCACCGCAACCTCCGCCTCCTGGGTTCAGGCAATCCTCCTGCCTCAGCCTCCTGAGTAGCTGGGATTACAGGTACGCACCACCATGCCCAGCTAATTTTTGTATTTTTAGTAGAGACGGGGTTTCACCATGTTGACCAGGATGGTCTCGATCTCTTGACCTAGTGATCCACCCGCCTCAGCTTCCCAAAGTGCTGGGATTACAGGCGTGAGCCACCGCGCCCGGCGAGTCTAATATTTCTTAAGCATCCTCTTTTCCCATCCCCCTCACCACTTTCCTTTCTCTGATGATTAATCAAGTCCTACCATCTTCATTAACATCCTCATTCCCGTCTCTGCTAACACGGTGCCGTTTTCAGGGAAGCCTACCGTTGTAACGTGCTGTAAAATAGCAATGCGTCCCATCTCCATTGCCTAACCTGTTCTTTCTCTAGTACTCATCACCAACAGGCATGTATTTATTTCTCTGTTGATCCCAAGTGTCTCCTCATGAAAATGTAAGCTCTTTGCTTTGTTCATTGTTGGACCCTAGGTCCTAGAATAATTCCTGCCACATAGTCATGATTCAGTGCACCTTTTTATTATCATTACTACTTTTGAATTTTTAATATTTTTTCTTTTCTTTTCTTGTTTCTTTCTTTCTTTTTTTTTTTTTTTTTTTTTTGATTTTAAGTTTTTTCCTCGTTGTCCACCCCGGAGTGCAATGGCACAATCTTGGCTCACCACAACCTCAGCCTCCTGGGTTCAAGCGATTCTCCTGTCTCAGCCTCCCGAGTAGCTGGGATTACAGGCATGTGCCACCATGCCTGGCTAATTTTGCATTTTTTCAGTAGAGACTGGGTTTCTCTGTGTTGGTCAGGCTGGTCTCGAACTCCTGACCTCAGGTGATCCTCCCACCTCAGTCTCCCAAAGTGCTGGGATTACAGGCGTGAGCCACCACACCCGGCCTCATTTTTAATTCTTCTTAAGAGATGGGGTCTCACCCTGCCACCCAGGCTGGAGTACGGTAGCACAATCATGGCTCATCACAGCCTCAACCTCCTGGGCTCGAAAGGTCCTCCCACCTCAGCCTCATGAGTATGTGGGACTATAGACACGCATTTTTTAAATTTTTTAATTTTTTCACAGAGATGGGGTATTGCTATGTTGCCCAGGCTGATCTGAAACTCCTAGCCTCAACAATCCTCCTGCCTAGTCTTCCCGCATAGCTGGGATTACAGCTGTGAGCCACTGCACCCAACCTATTCGATATGCCTTTTTTAGATACTAAATGTCCATTTTCCACCACTTCCACTGACACTTGGTTAACCAGACCCACTGCTCAATCTCACCTAGATTAACATAATACATTCATCACCAGCATCCTCACTTTACATGCTCTTTGGTCCTTCTCGGCTACATTGCAGTGATCTGCCACAGACTGTAAAGCTCATTCTCTGTCTAAACCATTCCTCAATGATTTACTCTTGGTATAAAGTCCAGTCTTCAAAGCCTGGTCATAGTTCCTACTGGGCTGATCCCAGCTGAGCTCTTCAGCCCTATCTCCTTCCTTGGTCCAGGTTAGACTTTCAGAAAAAGGTCAACAGTGAGATCATATAATAGAAGCCCAGACATGAGGAGAAAAATCCCTTAACAATGCCAGATTTGACTTTGCTATCTGGTTTATAAAGAGGTCTGGACTGGGTGCTTCAGCTGTCACCAGGAATCTTGGAAAATCTAATCAATAGCGGTGGATCAAGAAATCACATCCTGTAAACCTCCTCACCGTCCCAACATCTTGCCTATCTGTGCTTTAAACACAGGCCAGGCACGATGGCTCACACCTGTAATCCCAGCACTTTGGGAGGCTGAGGCGGGAGGATCACGGGAGGTCAGGGGTTCCAGACAAGACTTGCCAACATCTTAAAACCCCGTCTCTACTAAAAATACAAAAATTAGCCAGGCGTGGTGGTGCACACCTGCAATCCCAGCTACTCGGGAGGCTGAGGCACGAGAATCACTTAAACCCAGGAGGCAGAGACTGCAATGAGCCAAGATTACACCACTGCACTCCAGCCTGGGCGACAGAGCAAGACTCTGCCTCAAAAGTGATCATCATAATAATAACAATGTATCCCATATTGGACAATTGCCAAGAGAGACCATCTTCGAAGTTCTCATCACCCACTGAAAACAGTCAATGTGTGAGGAAATGAATATGTTAATCAGCTTGATTCCATCTGATGTGGTTTGGCTGTGTGCCCACCCAAATCTCATCTCGAATTGTAATCCTCATAATCCCCACGTGTCGGAGGAGGGACCCAGTGGGAAGTGATTGCATCACGGTGGCAGTCTCCCCCGTGCTATTCTCGTGATAGTGAGTTCTCACGAGATCCGATGGTTTCATCAGGGTCTGGCATTTCCCCTGCTGCCACTCACTTCACCCTCTTTTGTAAATTACCCAGTCTTGGGCAGTTCTTCATAGCAGTGTGAAAACTGACTAATACACTGTCATTTCACAATGTATGCATATATCAAAACATCATGTTATATACGTTAAAGGGCATTGGTACCCTTTGACCAAGTTTCATTCTAGTTTTGTTTGTGGATTATACTTTAACAAGCCGGTGGGAAAGTGAACGTAATAGATTGGATCTCTGCTCTTATAAAGTTTATAACCCAACACTCTTTCTGCCACCCCATGCAGTGATATATGGGTCATGGTTTGACCAAATTCATGGCTGGATGTCCGTGAGACAGAAGAAAAACTTCCTGTTACTGACTTATGAGGAGCTGAAAAAGGTAATGCTTTTCAGTGGAGCCTGGTGAAGAATCACAGAGTGGGATTAACTCCCTGGGCTTCATTGCCCTGTTTCTGGTTGACCCTTGTCCAAGCTTCACGCTCCTTATTTCATCTTAAAACATCTAAGCCAGGCACGGTGGCTCACGCCTGCAACCCCAGCATTTTGAGAGGCTGAGGCGGGTGGATCACGAGGTCAGGAGTTTGAGACCAGCCTGGCGAAGATGGCAAAACCCTGTCTCTACTAAAAATACAAAAATTAGCCTGACTTGGTGGTGGGCACCTATAGTCTCAGGTACTCAGGAGGCTGAGGTGGGAGAATTGTTTGAACCCGGGAGGCGGAGATTGCAGTGAGCCGAGATCATGCCATTGCACTCCAGCCTGGGCAACAGAGTGAGACTCTGTCTCAAAAAAAAAAAAAAAGAAGAAGAAGACCAGGCAGGGTGGCTCACACCTGTAATCCCAGAACTTTGGGAGGCCGAGGTTGGTGGATCACTTGAGGTCAGGAGTTGGATACCAGCCTGGCCAACATGGTGAAACCCGTCTCTACCAAAAATATAAAAAATTAGCCAGGGCCAGGCGCAGTGGCTCACGCCTGTAATCCCAGCACTTTGGGAGTCCGAGGTGGGCGGATCACAAGGTCAAGAGATCAAGACCATCCTGGCCAACATGGTGAAACCCCGTCTCTACTAAAAATACAAAAATTAGCTGGGCATGGTGGCACGCACCTGTGGTCCCAGCTACTCGGGAGGCTGAGGTGGAAAAATTGCTTGAACCCAGGTGGAGGCGGAGGTTGCAGTGAGCTGAGATTGCGCCACTGCACGCCAGCCTGGCGACAGAGCAATACTCCATCTCAAAAAAAAAATTAGCCAGGCGTGGTGGTAGACACCTCCTCAGCTACTGAGGAGGCTGAGGCAGGAGAATTGCTTGAACACGGGAGGCAGAGGTTGCAGTGAGCTGAGATCATGCCACTGCACTCTAGCCTGGGCAACAGAGTGAGAGCTTGTCTCTAAATAAATATGTAGATAAATAAATAAAAAACTATGCTCTTAACTTAATCTCCCAGGATCATGACCCTAGTCCTAATTATTGAGATCAAATATAAGAAGATATATATCTTTTTATATTTGAGAGACGGAGTTTCGCTCTTGTTACCCAGGCTGGAGTGCAATGGCGCGATCTCGGCTTACCGCAACCTCCGTCTCCTGGGTTCAGGCAATTCTCCTGTCTCAGCCTCCTGAGTAGCTGGGATTACAGGCACGCGCCACCATGCCCAGCTAATTTTTTGTATTTTTAGTAGAGACGGGGTTTCACCATGTTGACCAGGATGGTCTCGATCTCTTGACCTCGTGATCCACCCGCCTCGGCCTCCCAAAGTGCTGGAATTACAGGCTTGAGCCACCACGCCCGGCCTATAAGAAGATATTGTAATACTCTGTGTGTTATTCAAAAGCTAGTTATGGGACACAGTGCTATGAGCACAGCAGGCTTTGAAATCAAGCCCTTACATCCATCAGGTTCTCCCTGAACCTCTCCTTGCTAATCCTGTGACTGTCTAGAAGCTGCTCTAAACATCTCTGAGGAAACGCAGGGCTCTGTGTTTTATGGTGTGGTTCGGTTTGTTTGAGACAGAGTCTCACTCTGTCGCCCAGGCTGAAGTGCAGTGGCACGATCTCGGCTCACAGCAACCTCCGCCTTCCAGGTTCAAGCGATCCTCCTGCCTCAGCCCCCTACTAGCTGGGACTACAGGTGCCCACCACCATGCCTGGCTAAGTTTTGTATCTTTAGTAGAGACAGGGTTTCGCCATGTTGACCAGGCTGGTCTCAAACTCCGGACCTCAGGTGATCCACCCACCTAGGCCTCCCAAAGTGCTGGGATTACAGGCGTGCGCCACCGCGCCCAGCCGACCCTGCATGTTTACATACTGCATGCCCTCTCTCCTTCACCTCATTCTTTTCTCACAGTTGCATTCAACTCAATCCCTCCTCACCTCTGCGTGTCACTCCTCTCTTTTCCTCCTCCTCCTTCTGCCGTTTCCTCCTTCTCCTGTTATTTTTTTCTCGTTTTTTTTTTTTTTTTTTTTTTTATGATAAGGTCTTGCTCTGTCACTCAGGCTGGAGTGCAGTGGTGCGATCTTCACTCACCACAACCTCCACCTCCTGGCCTAAGCGATTCTCCTGCCCCAGCCTCCTGAGTAGCTGGGATTACAGGCACCCACCATCACGCCCTGCTAATTTTTGTATTTTTAGTAGAGACAGGTGTCTCGCCATGTTGGTCAGGCTGGTCTCGAACTCCTGATCTCAAGTGATCTGCCAGCCTCAGCCTCCCAGAGTGCTGGGATGACAGGCGTGAACCACCGTGCCCAGCCTCGTCTTTCTCTTTCGTAGCCTCTGTCTTGTTTTTTCTTTTTTAGGACACAAAAAGAACTGTGGAGAAAATCTGTCAATTCCTGGGAAAGACACTAGAACCCGAAGAACTGAACTCAGTCCTCAAGAACAGCTCCTTTCAGGCCATGAGAGAAAACGCGATGTCCAATTACTCCCTCCTGAGGGTTCATTCTGTGGTGGATGTTCCACAGCTTTTGAGAAAAGGTAAAAGAAAATGCCTTGGTTTCCAAATATACCAGAACACATGGCACGCATGTCTGTGGTCACAGCTAGGTGCTAACAGTTGAGATGAAAGAGGGCTTGAATTTTGCTAGCGCAGAGAAGGCTAAAAAAATAAAAATAAATAAAAAAAAAAAAGACTGCTTGAATTTATCAGCTTTGGTTTTTTCTTTTTCTTTTCTTGTTTGTTTTGTGAGGCAGAGTCTTGCTGTGTCACCCAGGCTGGAGGGCAGTGCCACGATCTTGATCTCGGCTCACTGCAACCTCTGCCTCCTGAATTCAAGTGATTCTCCTGCCTCAGCCTCCCGAGCAGCTGGGATTACAGGCACCTGCCACCATGCCTGGCTAATTTTTTTATTTTTAGTAGAGACAGGGTTTCAGCATCTTGGCCAGGCTGGTCTTGAACTCCCGACCTCATGAGTCACCTGTCTCGGCCTTGTTTTTGTTTGAGATGAAGTCTGGCTCTATCACCCAGGCTCTATCACCCAGGCTGGAGCACAGTGGTATGATCTCGGCTCACTGCAACCTCCGTCTCTCAGGTTCAAGCGATTCTCCTGCCTCGCCCTCCCGAGCAGCTGGGATTACAGGCACCCGCCACCATGCCTGGCTAATTTTTGTATTTTTAGTAGGGACAGGATTTCACCATGTTGGCCAGGATGGTCTCAGACTCCCAACCTCGTGATCCACCTGCCTCGGCCTCCCAAAGTGCTGGGATTACAAGTGTGAGCCACCGAGCCCGGCCAATGTATCAGCTTTAATTACTCATCACCCGGAACACTTCTCCCGTGGCCTCATTGGGGAGCCTCTTCTCGTGGTCCTGATGTGGGCTGCAGGCACGTGGGGAGAGTTGATTTCACTTGGGAGGGTTATCTGACTTACCTGAGGCCGTTCAGATTCTCTCTCCTCAGAGTGTGGCATGGGCATTACACGTTCCACAGACAGTGACCAGGCTCACTTGCTGCTCTTGCCAGACCT